CTAGAGCAACAAAGCATAAACATAAAATTAGAGCAAAGTGGTTTAGGGGTGATGTCAGGACGTACACTTTTACACAAAGTGAAATCTTGCTACCTCTCAGTGCCAGGGACCCGGGTTCGATTCCAGCCTTGGGTGACAGTCTGTGTGGAGTTTGCACATTCTTCCACAGTCCAAAGATGTGCAGGTTAGGTGAATTGGCCATGCTAGATTGTTTGTAGTGTCCATGGATGTGCAGGCTCGATGGATTAGAAAATGCTGGGTTACAGGGATAGGGTAAGGGGGGGTGGGGGGGTGGGGGGTGTTGGGATGCTCTTTCAAGGGTCAGTGTGAACTTGATGGGCCAAATGGCCTGCTTCCACCCTGTAGGGGATTCTATGATTCTAAGTCTGGTACTCTCTTCCACCAAACAGCTGTTGAAATTGGGGAACTGTTGAAAATTTCAAAACTGCTATTCATTAGGCAAGAGAATTAAAGAATACAGAATCAGACTAAGTGTACAGAGTTAAGGCAAAAGGTGAGCTCTAGTGAAATTAATTGTGGTGAAACGGTGACACATGAGGAACTGGCTGGTCTACCTCCATTCCTTCATTGTTGTTGGATCAATATCCTGGAACTCATTACGGAGCTCCACTGAGGAAGTAGCTTCAATTCAAAGAGTGTGGGCCTTGAGGAAGAGGTCCAGCATCTGTTCAGGGAACGGAGCTTCAAAAAATAGATGCATTTTCACCAGGATCACCCACAGACAGAGGGCAATTAAAGAAGCTGGTAAGTAAGAAGCCCCGCACCCCATTAATCTGCACCAGATTCAATCCTAGAGGTGAAAAGGCCAGTGTCCCACCCATTCCAACACCTCATCCGTTGGAAAACCTGCTGCACCATGTCATAGGCCAAAGAGATCGAAATTTAGAAGGTCAAAAGGTCAGAAGAAATAAGAGCAGGAGTAGGTTTTTTGGTGCATCAAGATCAAGTGCCCAATGGAGCATGAAGCTACAAACTCTTGAGTATGAGGCAAGAACACTGGCAGTCAGATAAAGCAACACTATCACTGTGGTATCTTTCCCAAAACACACATGATCAGGAAGGAATTTTCCTGCATTGATTGGAAGGAAAAATTACTATAGCCCACTCAATGGAATACTTGGCAAATCTAGTTGTAGATATTTCTTAAAAAGCCATACACAATGTGAATAATATTCCCATTGCATTGATAAAACAAAGCAAATGAATTTAGCCAAAATTAATTTTAAAATAACAGGCAATTCTTTGTTTCCGACCCGCAGTGTCGGTATGGCAGGGCGAGCTTGGTCCCAGGCGCACACATCAAATACATTTTACAAAATAAGCATAGGAGTTTGTTTTGTTTCGAAGCATGTACCTGAATAAGGAGGATCTGGGACAGGAATAAAATCACCTGAGTTTCAAAGTTTCATCAAAGCCAGCGGAAAATGGAAATCCGCTGTTTACAGGTTACCCATAGCAACGCATGGCTGATGTACTTTCTATCAGTGAGCTGGGTAGATATATGCTGAAGAAACATACCACGCATCACCCCCGTGCCTATTAATACTGCCTATTGCTGATGAGATTCTGTTTAGTGTTACTGTTTTTCCATCATTTTCAAGGTCACTGTGAGACAGAGACAAAGAAATTTGTTCATGAAAAATTGGAGCTATTGTGTCCAGGTTTAATATAACACAGTCTTGTAAACACCAGCATAAAACACTCCATGACTCATACATCAGTGACGTGGCTCAGTTTAAATTTATCTCATGACGATCAATCATTGTAATGAAACTATCTGAACAAGTCTCTTCTTTAAACTTGTACCTTTGGCACAAGAATGAATGGGTATCTCTTGCTCAGACTTTTATTTTACATTTTTACAGAATCTGTACCTGGAAGATTGCTGGGTAGCTCACAGCATATTCTTTGAAAGATTCTGCAATGAACAGTGGACATACTTAACAGTCAAAACAATTTTTTTTGTTATTGTCAGATGTGCCTTATTGAAATGACCATCTGTAAATGTGCAATGTTAGTACCGAGGGGGCACTGTCAGGAGCAGTTAGTATTCAAAGGGAGATGCTGTCTGGTTTGACAGTGTTTCTAAAGGGTCAATAGTTTACTGGCAATTTGCTTCTTATTCAGTCTAATATTCTTGTCCATCGACCTCAACTACCAACTAAACCATTAGCAAGAAAACAAGAGCACTGAGATTGTTAGTTCTCTTTATGGAAATCTTTCTCCTTGTAATCTTGCTTAGTACACTGAGTTAGAATTCTAAAATACCATATACATTTTAACACACAAAGTAATTCACCAACAATATTATGAAACATTTCCATATAGAATCTCTTCTGCATTCGGAATTTCTCCTACAGCATTTGCTCCTCGCTCCTACACACTCTGTCACAAAAACCAGTCCATATTTAAGGGACTAACTTTGTTCCAACTAGGCTTTGTGTACAGTTTGGTTCCTGCTTTAATTATCCAGTTTACTCCTGACGCCCACGTTACTTAACCTACTTGCTCCATCCCATAGGCATGTTCCAAATACCAGTGGCAAATGTTGTACAAGGTACAAGTGTTAATACTGAGGAGTGCATTTAGCACCATCCATTATGATAATGTCAGATGGATCTGGTAGGAGAAAACCTTGGGACTGCAAAACAGTAAGACCTACTGTGCAGAGCCTCCTCATAGTCAATGCCTATTACATTTTGGAAACGCAAATCAGAGCAGGACATTTATACTTAACAGTAAGGTCCTGGGGAGTGTTGCCGAACAAAGAGACCTTGGAGTGCAGGTTCATAGTTCCTTGAAAGTGGAGTCACAGTTAGATAGGATAGTGAAGAAGGCATTTGGTATGTTTGCCTTTATTGGTCAGTGCATTGAGTATAGGAGCTGGAAGGACATCTTGGTTTGGCCACTTTTGGAATACTGTATGCAATTCAGGTCTCTCTGCCATAGGAAAGATGTTGTTAAACTTGAAAGCTTCAGAAAAGATTTGCAAGGATGCTGCCAGGGTTGGAGGGTTTGAGCTATAGGGAGAGGCTGAATAGGCTTGGGCTATTTTCCCTGGAGCGTCGGAGGCTGAGGGGTAATCTTATAGATGTTTATAAAATCATGGGAGGTATAGATAGGATGAATAGTCAAGGTCTTTTCTCCAGGATAGGGGAGTCTAAAACTAGAGTGCGTAGGTTTAAGGTGAGAGGGGAAAGATTTAAAAGGGACCTAAGGGGCAACTTTTTCAGACAGAGGGTGGTGTGTGTATGGAATGAGCTGGCTGGTACAGTTACAACATTTAAAAGGCACCAGATGGGTACATAAGTAGGAAGGGATATGGGCCAAATAGTGGCAAATGGGATTAGATTAATTTTGGATATTTGATCGTCACGGGAAAGATGAACCAAACAGTCTGTTTCTGTGCTGTATATCTCTATGACTCTATATTCTATATGTTGTTACTATCATACAATAAACTACATCTTGTTAAAAGGCAAGAGACCTCTTCTTATTGGACTACTTGGTGGTCTCCATTTATCACACCAGATCAAACAGGCCCTACCAGGAAAGAGGATGGTACCAATAAATCTACCTGATAGCACAGTGAGCACTGGTGAAGATTCATCTTACGTAAAGTAAAGGTAAAGTCGCCTACTGGACCATAGGGCTGCTCTCTCATTAGAGAGAGACAACGTGTGCTGGTTTACCCTGAGCCGGGGGGTCACCACACATCAAGCAAGGGGAGAGGTTGAGAAGGAGAGTCCTTTCTGGTAACCTCAGCCAGTGTGGGAATTGAACCCACACTGTTGGCATTACAAACCAGCCATCCAGCTAACTAAACTAACCAATCCTCAAAGTAGGCATTAAGTGAAAGTCAATAATATTAGAAACGGATAACAGGTAACAATATTGATCTACACAGTGAAAACACAAGGGCAAGCATTGTCAATGGGAAATGCTCACAGCAAGTTATATTACCATTGATTGAGTTAGAATGCTTCATGGACAGAAAACGGTAATATAGGAGTAGGCCATTCAGCCCCTTGATGCTGCTCAGCTATTATAGATTATGGCTGACCTCCTACATCAAAGACCTTTTTCTCACTATCCCCCATCCCTTGATATCTTCAAAACCTAGAATCCTATTGTCCTCTGTCTTGAATACAATTACTGAGCTTCCACTAATGAAAAATAATCTTTTAGGTCAGAAGGGAGAAAGAGATTTGAAAGAAAACTTCTCACCGTTGAATCAAAATGTGTACTTTGAACATTGTGAACATAAATGCAGTCATAATGCTGTCAAGACTGCAAACTTGGGCTGGAGGCATTCCTGGAGATTTGATCATGTAATGTACTGATCACATGATGCCATGTCACATTATATCTGCACACATGACGTATGTTATGTTACAGCATTTGTGTAGTAAGAGGCCATTTCGCTGTATTGGAGTAGTTGTGTTTGTGGGCTTTTCTTGCTCACGCTTTTGGTCCAAGTGGCAGAAACAGGAGGGTGCCCGGGACTGGGCTATAAACTGAAGGTGGGGAAGAGATGTAACCCAAGCGCAGGAGTAAGAAGGGAAAGCTAATGACGGGAACATGGAGAAATGAAGGATGGAGATATGGGGGCGGGGGGCGGGGGGCGGGGGGGTGGTGGTGGTGGTGATGACAGTAAAAGGAAACCAACATAAAAGGGAGGGGAGACTCACTCTCACAGAATGGACATTGCTTCTCCTGGTCATGCTGAAGATATTCCTCTGTCTCCCTCTCTCCATCTGTTAGATTCCCCTCTCCCCCTTCTCCTCAGTTTTCCTCCCCCGTGACCTGCACCCTCCGCCACTTCCCCGGTCACCCCCTCCCTATGCTCTCTCTGCCAGACGTTCTCAAGGTTCAGGCTCTCAGGCAGATGAGCTCTTGTACGTTTCAGTGGGTGAATCGCTGATTTCAGTGCAGCATTGCCAGGGCAGAGCTTGCAGTTTCTCAGATGACACACTTACCTGCTTTCGGGTTGTGTGGGTGCTTGTCAGGATGGCAGGTCAGTGCCTTTGCTTTAAACTCTGCAACGATCTGCTCTGTCTGACAAAATAAAAGTTCAATCAGTAAACAACTTGCAGCACAAAAGATAAACCTTACATCACCAATACCAACTGAAAAGCAATTATTCATTCTATCTGATGCAATGAATCAGCGACTCCTTTTGTGCATTTATTGTTTCTTTTTGGTCAGTTTATTTTGCGTTGAGGAAGTTGGTAGCTTGCTTTGATGTAATACATTCACCATGGTAACATCTGGCATTAGGCTTTCTACACGCACAGCAGTCATCACTGCAGCTGCTCATCAAATACAATCAAAATTTTAAAAATTTCACATCGTAACTCTGACCTGTGAGCTAAATGCAATGATTCAGTAAGATGACACAGAAAGAGGAATGATCTTTAAATATTTGAGTTTGAGTGGGTTTTCCAAATACAATGTGTATTTTCTGTCCTATGAGATCTCAGGGATGTGCTTTGCAAAAACAGATGACACACACACACACAGCCTGTAAACTTCCATTCATAGCGCAACTGATACAGTCATACGGCATGGAAACAAACCCTTTGGTCCAACCAGTCCATGCTGATCATAATCCCAAATTAAACTAGTCCCACCTGCCTACACTTGGCCCATATCCCTCCAAACATTTCCTATTCATGTACCTATCCAAATATTTTTTAAACATTGTAACTGTCCTGCATCCATGATTTCCTCTGGGAGTTCACTCCACACACAAATCACTCTCCATGTAAACAAAAGTTGCCCCCATGTCTTTTTTACATCTTTCTCCTGTCACCTTAAAAATATATTATCCCTGTCCCCCAGTCTTGAAATCCCTGGGGAAAAGACACCTGTCATTCACCCTAACTATGGCCCTCATGATTTTATAAACCTCTACAAGGTCATCCCTCAACCTCCCACGCTCCAGCGAAAGAAGTCCCAGCCTATCCAGCCTATTTTTATAACTCAAAACCTCCATTCCCGGCAACATCCTGGTAAATCTTTTCTGAACCCTCTCCAACTTAATAACATCCTTTCGATAACAGGTGACCATAACTGGACACAGTATTCCAGAAGAGGCCTCATCAACATTCTGTACAACCTCAACGTGACATCCCAAATCCTATACTCGGAGGTCTGAGCAATGAAGGCAAGTGAGCTAAACACCTTCTTAACTGCCCTGTCTACATGTGATGCAAATTTCAAAGAATTCTGTACCTGAACCCCTAGGTCTCTCTGTTCTACAACACCACCCCAGTTTTGGGTCTTTAAGCTGTTATAATTACTCAGGATCTCCAATCTAATGAAAAGGCCCTTATATCGAACATAGAACATAGAACAGTACAGCACAGTACAGGCCCTTCGGCCCACAATGTTGTGCCAAACTTTTACCCTAAACCTAAGGTCTATCTAACCTCCACCCCTACCTTATACCATCATCCATATGCCTATCTAATAGCTGCTTAAATGCTCCTAATGAGGCTGACTCCACTACCCTCTTCGGCAATGCATTCCACGCCCCAACCACTCTCTGAGTAAAGAACCTACCTCTGACGTCTCCCCTATATCTACCTCCACTCACTTTAAAACTATGTCCCCTCGTAATAGCTACCTCCACCCTAGGAAAAAGTCTCTGGCTGTCCACTTTATCTATACCTCTGATCATTTTGTACACCTCTATCAAGTCACCTCTCATCCTTCGTCGTTCTAAAGAGAAAAGCCCTAGCTCTCTCAACCTTTCCTCGTAAGACCTTCCCTCTTTTCCAACACTTCCACATCTTTCTTGTAATGAGGCGACCAGAACTGGACACAATACTCCAGATGTGGCCAAACCAGGGTTTTGTATAGCTGGAGCATAACTTCACGGCTCTTGAACTCAATCCCTCTATTAAAGAAAGCCAACACACCATACGCCTTCTTAACAACTCTATCCACCTGGGTGGCAGCTTTCAGGGAACTGTGGACATGAACCCCGAGATCCCTCTGCTCCTCCACACTGCCAAGAATCTTTCCGTTAACCCTGTATTCTGCTTTCAAGTTAGTCCTTCCAAGATGAATCACCTCACACTTTTCAGGGTTAAACTGCATCTACCACTTCTCAGCCCAGCTCTGCATCCTATCAATGTCCCTTTGTAACCTAGAACATCCCCATTGTCCACAATGCGACCCACCTTCGTATCATCCGCAAACTTACTAATCCACCCTTCCACTCCTATATCCAAATCATTTACAAAAATCACAAATAGAAGAGGACCCAGAACAGATCCTTATGGTAACTGAATACCATGTTGAATATTTTCCGTCCACTACCACCCTTTGTCTTCTAAGGGTCAGCCAATTCTGAATCCAATCTGCTACATTTACCCCTGTCCCATGCCTCCTTACTTTCTGCATGAGCCTACCATGGGGAACCTTATCAAATGCCTTACTTATATCCAAGTATTCCACATCCACTGCTCTAACTTCATCCATGTGTTTGGTCACCTCTTCAAAGAATTCAATAAGGTTTGAGGCATGACATATAGCTACAATCTTTAGTCTCTGCACCCCCTAGACCTTTAGGTTTCTGTCCTCCCTCAGTTTGTCCTTGTCAATCTGCCCCCAGGGTCTGTAGTGTTACACACTGCCTGTGACCTCGCACTGTCCTGGGAGACAGAGAATTGCTGGAGAAACTCTGCAACTCCAGCAGCCTCAAACTTCAGTGGAAGGTTTCCACTTCAAAGTTCCTCTTCAGTTGGCATGGCTACAGTCAGTTTGAGGAGTTTCTTCCCACTGACCTTTAGAGCAAAGACATAATTTTCCACACCCTCAGCTTTCAGGAGTTTTCTCCCCGTAACCTTTGATCCCCTTGACAATCAAGAACCTATCTACCTCAGTTTTAAATGTACTCAATGACCTGGCCTCCACAGCCTTCTGTGGCAGTGAATTCCATAGATTCACCACTCTCTGGCTGAAGAAGTTTCTCCTTATCTCCGTTCTGAAAGGTCTTCCCTTTACTCTAAGGCTATGCCCTCGGGTCTTAGTCTCTCCTACCAATGGAAGCATCTTTCCAACATCCACTCTGTCCAGGCCATTCAGTATTCTGTAAGTTTCAATTTGATCCCCCCTCATCCTTCTAAACTTCAATGAGTGTAGTCCCAGAGTCCTCAAACGTTCCTCATATGTTAAGCTTTTCATTCCTGGGACCATTCTCATGAACCTCTCTGACATTAGCCCATCCTGGAAGCTGTGGCCAATTGTAGGACACATTTGGTAATCAAACTTAGAACCTTTTGGGCTTTATGGCTCAGTAGTTAATTGTATTGTATCCATTTTACTTCCTCAAGCACTGTTAGATCCTGCCTAAACTCTGCTGTCTACTCTAGAGTCACTCTGGAATGTGAAGATCATCCCTGTTTCTTTTCTCCACTTCCAATGATCTCCTCAAACTCTTGCCTCCTGCATGTTCCACCTTCACCTCCAAAGAAAGTACAGAGAACCCATGAGCCTTTCATTAAGTTTGAAATGGTCCGATATTAGCCTCAGCCACATTGCTGTCCTCACTAGCCTACTGAGCCAAGTTTCCCCCATCATTGTCTCTGACCTAGCCTTCAACTTGCATTTCACCGTAGTTTATCTCCTATCCCCTCAGGTCTGCACTCTGATTTCATTTGGCCCATGAAACTTACCTTATGTTTGCTCGGCCTGATTCCCACTGACAATAGTATTGAAGTCTTATGTTCCAGACTTGCCACATCCATAGCCAAACTGTTCCACTATAGCTGCAACACTAGCATTTTTTTTTATTCATTTATGGCATGAGGGTATTACTGGCCAGGCCAGCATTTATTGCCCATCCCTAATTGCCCAGATGTCAGTTAAGAGTCAATCACATTGGAGTCACATGTAGGCCAGACTAGGTCAGGATGGCAGTTTCCATCCCTAAAGGACATTAGTGAATCACGTAGGTTTTTCCAACAATTGGCAATGGATTCATGGTCATCATTAGACCCTTTAATTCCAAATGTTTATTGAATTCAAATTCTGCCATCTGCTTTGGTGGGATTTGAACGAAGGTTCCCCAGAATATTACCTGGGTCTCTGAATTAATAGTCTAGCAAAAATAACACCAGGCCATCACCTCCTCATCTACCCAAACACATGGAAATTAGGCCTGGAATGTCCTGTATGCACCCAGCAGGACAAATCCAATACAGCAATTACCGCCCCATGAGTCTAGTCTCAATCAAAGTCAGATTGCATATGAATAAAAAAATCCACCAAATTCCTGTATTTGAAAAACTGCTAATCAATCACCAATTATCACAATATCAGGTGAAGTCAGTGGAACTGAGAATTATGATTTTCTTGGCTCAGTGGTTAGCACTACAGCTTCACAGCGCCAGGGACCCAGGTTCAATTCCACCCTCGGGCAACTGTCTGTGTGGAGTTTGCACATTCTCCCTCATTCAATATGGCATTATACAATTGCACAAGAAAGTTTGCTCACTCCTGACTTTGGAGTATTGAAGGAGCAGTGCTATTTAATATTGAAGGAATGAAGGGCCACATGAGGAGTTATTGTTAAAGATGGAGCTTAGAGGCATGTATGTTCTATCACACTGCGAATTGTCGAAAAATTCTTTCAGATTGCATATGAATAAAAAAATCCATCAAATTCCTGCATTTGAAAAACTGCTAATCAATCACCAATTATCACAATGTCAGGTGAAGTCAGTGGAACTGAGAATCATCATTTTCTTGGCTCAGTGGTTAGCACTACAGCTTCACAGCGCCAGGGACCCAGGTTCAATTCCACCTTCGGGCGACTATCTGTGTGGAGTTTGCACATTCTCCCTGTGCCTGCTGGGTTTCCTCCGGGTGCTCCGGTTTCCTCCCACGGTCCAAAGATGTGCGGGTTAGGGTGGATTGGCCATGATAAATTGCTCATAGTGTTCAGGGATGTGTAGGTTAGGTGGACTAACCATGAAGAATGTAGGGTTATGGGGATAGGTCAGGGAGTTGGGTCTGGGTGGGATGTTCTTTGGAGGGTTGGTGTGGACTTAATGGGCCGAATGGCCTGCCTCCAAACTGTAAGGATTCTATGATTGCATAAAACGTCAGGACCACAAACCCAACAACTACATGGAGTCCTAATAAAACAAATACCCTCTGGGTGGCTTGAAGTTAGCATCCAGATACCCCCAGGAAGGTATAAAGAATGAACAATCTGTAACAGATAGAAACCTTTTCCATCATTGAGAGTATTTTTCACATATACCACATCACTATGATCAATGCATTGAGTAAATATGTATTTCCTGCATGAAAATATACTCTTAATCACTTCAGTGTAATTCACTCAGTGATATGCAACAGATTTCAGCATGAAGACAAAACCCGCACAGCACTGACTCCAAACTGAGAAAAGCAAAAGAAACAAAACTGAAAGACTGTGATAACAAGGTGTAGAGCTGGATGAACACAGCAGGCCAAGCAGCATCAGAGGAGCAGGAAAGCTGACGTTTCGGGTCTAGACTCTTCTTCAGAAAATGAAGAAGGGTCCAGACCCCAAACGTAAACTTTCCTGCTCCTCTGATGCTGCTTGGCCTGCTGTGTTCATCTCAGATTCTCCAGCATCGGCAGTTCCTACTATCTCCAAAACTGAAAGACTTGTATTTTTGTTGCACCTTCAGCAAAGAGCCCATGGCATTTTGAGGCAGCAAGGTACCTTCAAAGCGTAACAAATGCGGTGACCAAATTGTGCACAGCACGCTCCTGTGGATAGCAATGTGATAAGGACCAGCTGAAGTATTACTTCTGGGCATAGATAAAGACAACTATTGGCCATGACACCAGGCATAACACAATCTCCAAAATTGTGTCCGGGGTACCCTTACTGTCACAGTCTCATCCAGACCAGAAACACTGACTGCAATGAAACCTATCTCCACAACAGGTTGTATGTGGCACACCACTCACTAACTTAAGGAAGGGAGAAATGTAAACTAGATACCACTGAACATTAAAATAAAATCGGTTTGATAAACTACAATTCCGGTCAACATCAAGCTACAAACTGGCCAACACCAAACCACAAACTGGTTACTGCTGATTCCCAATGGCAGGCTCTGAGCCAGTTCAATTCCGCCAAAGCGGATCAAGACCCCGATCTCTCTCACCGTGGAGAGCTCATCGCAGCCCAGCAGTTGGTAATAATTCTCGGGATCCTGTGCGCTGCGGTTCACTATCCCGTCCATCGGTAACGATGCTCCTCAGCGCAGCTCCCCCGGTGTCTGGCTGCTGCTTGGGTTTGCCTCCTTATACAGGGCGCAGTGTACTGCCCAGCGGATATACCGCCCACTGACCGTGTTTGCTGTTAATCTCACACATGCACACAGTGAGACGGTATGGCCAGCCCCCTGGGCCTTGCAGTTTTGAACTGCCACAGCTGGACACTCCCAGTTACTGCTCTCTGCAATACTACACAGACACGGGTCTCACTTAAAACCGAGGCAGAACGGTCAAGGAAGCGAGGGACTGAGTTCCGAAACAATACCAACTTACATTGGTATAGCGCCTTCAAAGGGGCAATTGTCCCTGTGCTCTTCACGGAACCTTTATTCAGACAAGATTTGAGGGTGAGCTATATCAGGAGTATCAATTGCAGACCAAAATTTATTTCTCAAAGAAATGGGTTTTAAAAAGCACACGAGAGAGGATAGATATTGAAGCAAGAATAGGTGTAGCACAGAAATCCCAGCGGGTTGCAGATCAGAAACTAATTCCTAACAGTGATTTAAATCCAACATTTGTCAGAGAGCAGGTAACTGCAGACTCGAGTCCAGCTTCTGGACTGTTGTTGGTGCTATATTCATCCAGGCAAGTGGGGAGTATTCCATCACACTTCTAACTTGGGCCTTGTAGCTGGTAGACAGGCTTTGGGGAGCCAGGTGGTGAATTATTTGCTACAGGCCTCCGACCTGCTATTGTAGCCAGTTATAAATGAATGGTGCAGTTAAACGTGTATAATTCATATAGATTATCATTTTCAGTATTTTGGTTGTAGGTAAGTGTTAGTTACGTCTGTGAAGGGTTTTTTTTCCTTTTTACAAAAAAAGGTCAAAGTCCTTCCAGAACAGTGATTTAAATCCAACTTCTATCAAAGAGAAGGTGACTGTAGACCTGGTGGTTAATGGAAAGATGTGTATACAATTCTGTTTACAATAGATAGGATAGACATCTAAGATTATTAGCTTTATTATGAGTCCAGAAGAGCCTAGGATGGGCAAAATGTTTTTGAATTTGGTTCAGAAGACACCATTTTCTCCAGAAAGAAGGATTTGGAGCAGTTCAGAGAACTATCACTTCAACAGGATTTAGTTTGTGAAATTTCTAAGCTAGAGTTTGGTTAGTAATCTACAGGCTTTTGGTGCTAGGTTTAAGCTCTCAGATTTGTGAAAGGTTCACATCAGCAGATTTGAAAAGGGCACATTGACTTGTCTTCACAGTCCAAAAGGAAACCATCAGTCAGTTAAATACAACATGAGAGAACTGAGATAGGGAAGTAATTTCTCTAGATTTCAGTCTCTCCATCAGACAGTGTCACAAAACAGGTTGAAGCTTTGTTTTGCTGTGTGTTTAGATATTGCTAGCTGTATTCTGAAGGGGTTGAAAGTTTCAGACAGTCAGTTAAGGATTAAATTCTCAGTCATATTCTCATGGCAAATGGGAACCTGATGTACAAAGGCAGACGAGAAGCGTACGAGCTGCACTATCAGCAAGATAGAGCCAGCCCTGTGAGAGATACAGATGAGGTTGGGGGAAACAGTACAAACGTAGCAACTGAACAAAGGCGTCAGACGTAAGATAAACAATAACTTTCAGGGAACTGACCGCAAACAACGGAATTCGATTCTTGCAAAGCTTCACCAAAAAGCAGCAAACCAGATTGCATATGTAGTCCACAAAGCTGATCTCATCTACTCGTGGAAATATCTTCACTACTTTTGTAATTTAAAAAGAGCTCCAACACATCACACTCCAAACACACTAACCAACTGCCACTTCTCTGGCTTAGTCACTCACCTGCCATCTGAACATTTCATCCACTCCGTCACCTTATCACTTACTCGCCTATCACTTTACCCCCTCACTCACCACCTTAACTCTCCTGTCACTCAACCCCTCATCCTCCATAACACACCACCACCCATCCCCTCATTCTCCTGCCACTTGTGTTTTACCCACCTGCCACCTGAGGGGGGGGGGGGCAGTTAGCTCAGTTGGAGGGAGCATTGGTTTGTGCTGCAGAGTGTTCATTTCCCACATCAGCTGAGGTTACCATGAAGATCCTATCTTCTCAACCGTGCACCTCACCTGACCCTCAGGTTAAACTTACCGCCAATTGTCTCTCTCCAGTGAGAGAGTGTGACTGTGGTGAATTTTAACTTAGGCACCTGCCGCAACTTCCCAAAACATCGGCAATCGCTGGAAAAGCTCAGCACATCCGGCAGCATCTGCGGAGAGAAATCAGAGTTAATTTTACTGGGCGAGTGACCCTTCCTCAGAACCAAGCTCAGTTCTCACCTTGACCCGAAAGTTAACTCTGATTTCCCTCCACAAATGCTGCCGGACCTGCTGAGCTTTTCTAACAGTTTCTGTTTCTGATTTACAATTTTTTCCGGTTTTCCCAAAACAACACGCCACCTGACCGCATCGCCCATTTATTTTAAACACTTACCTTCTCTCAACAGTTTCTCTTTGGGCATTTAATGGGATGAGGCAACTTATACCATCAAAAAGGAGCCCTAGTATCCACAAGGGTGCCCTGCATTGCTTGGGTGAGGGTTGGGGTTGCCGAATGGGCAAGAAACAATTTACCCAACAGCAAAGAAGAGACTTAGGAATTGGGAGGGACAGAGGTGAGTGAGCTCAGGCCAGAGAGGTTAGGAGACAGTGTCATATCACTACCTAGCCCTTGGAAGGTTCGAGGCTCAGCAAAATATTGATGGTAATGACAAACAAATAGGTCTTATAGTTTATTTCAGGTTTACAGCATCTGTGGCATGCTCGCTGGATCACCACCATAGTGCCGACTAGGGCCTTCAGTAGGGTATACGTATCTGTTCAGTGCTTATGTTAGGTCTTACAACTTAACAATTAGACCTGGGTAACAGTGTAATGGAAGAGTTAACCGACACTATTGCAGCTCCTGGTATATACATACATTACAGTCGCAGGTACTTCAGTGTTTAGGCCAAGATTAAGCTACACAGTTACAAATGGTAGCATGCTTCAAGTGGCCCTGGTTAACATGGAATATGTGAACTTTATATCCTTAGGTCGCCTGACATGATGTAGTGATGATTTCATGAGCACATCTCTTAAAAGTATATTACATACTAGCTGTGAGACATAATATAACAACGGACCATATAAATTCAGAGCGGGACAGAACAACAGCGCTTCAACAAAGGTTACACAGCACTGATGGTGTCACCTGGAAGGGTGACGAAACATTTGCATTAAAACCAGTCAGCTCGGCGAACCAACCAACAACTCCAATGTAACAAATTGTCTAACGTGGGGTGACACGATGGTTCAGTGGTTAGCACTGCTATCTCACAGCACCAGGGAGCCTGGTTCAACTCCAGCCTCAGTTGACTGTCTGTGTGGAGTTTGCACATTCTCCGTGTGTCTGCGTGGGTTTCTTCTGAGTACTCCGGTTTGGTCCCACAGTCTAAAAATGTGCAAGCTAGGTGGATTGGCCATGCTAAATTGCCCATAGTGTTCAGGCATGTGTAGATTAGGTGGGTTATAGGGGGATGGGTCTGGGTGGGATGCTCTGAGGGCAGGTGTGGACTTGTTGGGCCGAAAGGCCTGTTTCCACACTGTAGGGATTCTATGATGATCTATGTTCTGACAGTTTATTCAGGCCCAAGCATCACTCTAAGCCAAACTTCTTAAAAGTTAGGTTACAAATCATTGCACAGGAATGAAATGTTACAAATGAACTATGTGCTCATTACAGTTCCCATATATCACTAACCAGTTTGGCAAGAATTGGAGGATTTGCTATTTTATTATCATCATCAACAACAGTCTGCATTTATATACTGTCTTTAACATAATTATGATTATAGTAAAAATGGATGATCAATATCAAATCCCATCATCTAAGAGTCATTCCTGAGACCCTTTACAGACCAAAACACTGGCTTAATGATGCAGAGAGAGACAGCATGAACACAGCAAATATGCTTTTGAGGTTGAAATCATCGAAACCAAGCCTGACCAACCTCTTGAGGGAGGAGATGTAAGCGACGAAATTTCAGAAAGCTCTGATTTGCCACAACACTAAAGATGAATTTTAGTGGGGTTGATTTGCTTTGAATTATTATTGTCACATTACCGAGATATAGTGAAGAGTGTTTTATTTGTGTGCTAACCAGACATACCTAATATAAATACATCAGGGTAATAGAGCAGAATGCAGAAGGATAAGAAGATGAAGGAGGGAAGGGTCAGTGCCAAACCAATACACTGTTCCTGTAGTCAATTCTGCAGGTTGTGAGGGTTTGCTGGTCAGTATCACTGAGGGGTGGCCCGCACAGTCGTGACAGTAACATATCCTTAATTGATGAATTGGTGAGTCCTGATGAGTCATTCAGGATCCCTGCAGAGCTAACCAACCAGGGTAGTGACAAGCAGGTAGGCAATAGAATTTTACAGAAGAAACATTCACCCAACAACCACTCTTTCCCCGTTAACCACCCCGATCAAACAACCTCACACTCCCCCAGTGAAAAACAGCAGTATTTGAATACAGTGGGCCTCCATTTTGAAGTACACAAGATGGTTCGGAGCAGTATGCTTCATTCGTAAATTATGCTTGTTTATCCTTATCATACCGTGGTCTGACTCATGCCCTTCTCCCCCACACCCCTTACACACACACTTTATCCCCCTTACAGCCCATACCCCAAACCCTCCTCCCCTGCCCCCCTTACCCACACTCACCTCCCTCCCCCTCCTCCCCTACCCCACACCCTACTCCACTCACCCCGCTCCCCACTTACCCATAGCCTCCTCGCCTCCCCCATACCCACAGCC